CAACGCATTAAACAAAACAAAAAACACAAATACAAAATACAAAATACAAATACATAGGGATATTTTTTCCTGATAAATTATATGCTATTTCATGGCCATTATATTGTTTTATGTGCCATTAAGGAAAACACATATCTTTTGGGGTCTGTATCTGACCATGTGTTCTCGCATACCCCGAGAGCATCTGGTCAGCGGGGTGGTAGCACAGGAATCCTCATCTCTCCCAAGTGGACATTCTCTCTTTCTCCCCTGACCCATCTGTCTATCTCCTCATTTGAATTCCATGCTGTCACAGTCACTAGCCCATTCAAGCTTAACATCCTTGTCATTTATCGCCCTCCAGGTTCCCTTGGAGAGTTCATCAATGAGCTTGACGCCTTGATAAGTTCCTTTCCTGAGGATGGCTCACCCCTCACAGTTCTGGGTGACTTCAACCTCCCTACGTCTACCTTTGACTCATTTCTCTCTGCCTCCTTCTTTCCACTCCTCTCCTCTTTTGACCTCACCCTCTCACCGTCCCCCCCTACTCACACGCTTGACCTCATCTTTACTAGATGCTGTTCTTCTACTAATCTCACTGCAACTCCCCTCCAAGTCTCCGACCACTACTTTGTATCCTTTTCTCTCTCGCTCTCCTCCAACACTACTCACTCTGCCCCTACTCAGATGTTAATGCGCCGTCGCAACCTTCGCTCTCTCTCTCCCACTACTCTCTCCTCTTCCATCCTATCATCTCTTCCCTCTGCTCAATCCTTCTCCCTCCAATCTCCTGATTCTGCCTCCTCAACCCTCCTCTCCTCCCTTTCTGCATCCTTTGACTCTCTATGTCCCCTATCCTCCCAGCCGGCTCGGTCCTCCCCTCCTGCTCCGTGGCTTGATGACTCATTGCGAGCTCACAGAACAGGGCTCTGGGCAGCCAAGCGGAAATGGAGGAAAACTAGACTCCCTGCCGACCTGGCATCTTTTCACTCCCTCCTCTCTACATTTTCTTCATCTGTTTCTGCTGCTAAAGCCACTTTCTACCACTCTAAATTCCAAGCATCTGCCTCTAACCCTAGGAAGCTCTTTGCCACCTTCTCCTCCCTGCTGAATCCTCCTCCCCCCCCCCCCCCTCCTCCCTCTCTGTGGATGACTTCATCAACCATTTTGAAAAGAAGGTTGACGACATCCGATCCTCGTTTGTTAAGTCAAATGACACTGCTGGTCCTGCACACACTGCCCTACCCTATGCTTTGACTTCTTTCTCCCCTCTCTCTCCAGATAAAATCTTGCGACTTGTGACGGCCGGCCGCCCAACAACCTGCCCGCTTGACCCTATCCCCTCCTCTCTTCTCCAGACCATCTCTGGTGACCTTCTCCCTTACCTCACCTCGCTCATCAACTCATCCTTGACTGCTGGCTATGTCCCTTCCATCTTCAAGAGAGCGAGAGTTGCACCCCTTCTCAAAAAACCAACACTCGATCCCTCTGATGTCAACAACTACAGACCAGTATCCCTTCTTTCTTTTCTTTCCAAAACTCTTGAGCGTGCCGTCTTTAGCCAACTCTCTTGCTATCTCTCTCAGAATGACCTTCTTGATCCAAACCAGTCAGGTTTCAAGACTGGTCATTCAACTGAGACTGCTCTTCTCTGTGTCACGGAGGCTCTCCGCACTGCTAAAGCTAACTCTCTCTCCTCTGCTCTTGTCCTTCTAGACCTGTCTGCTGCCTTTGATACTGTGAACCATCAGATCCTCCTCTCCACCCTCTCCGAGCTGGGCATCTCCGGCGCGGCTCACTCTTGGATTGCGTCCTACCTGACCGGTCGCTCCTACCAAGTGGCGTGGCGAGAATCTGTCTCTGCACCATGTGCTCTCACCACTGGTGTCCCCCAGGGCTCAGTTCTAGGCCCTCTCCTATTCTCGCTATACACCAAGTCACTTGGCTCTGTCATATCCTCACATGGCCTCTCCTATCATTGCTACGCAGACGACACACAACTAATCTTTTCCTTTTCCCCTTCTGATAAACAGGTGGCGAATCGCATCTCTGCATGTCTGTCAGACATATCAGTGTGGATGACGGATCACCACCTCAAGCTGAACCTCGGCAAGATGGAGCTGCTCTTCCTCCCGGGGAAGGACTGCCCGTTCCATGATCTCGCCATCACGGTTGACAACTCCGTTGTGTCCTCCTCCCAGAGTGCAAAGAGCCTTGGCGTGACCCTGGACAACAACCTGTCATTCTCCGCTAACATCAAGGCAGTGACCCGATCCTCTAAGTTCATGCTCTACAACATTTGGAGAGTACGACCCTGCCTTACACAGGAAGCGGCACAGGTCCTAATCCAGGCACTTGTCATCTCCCGTCTGGATTACTGCAACTTGCTGCCTGTGCCATTAAACCCCTACAACTCATCCAGAATGCCGCAGCCAGTCTGGTGTTCAACCTTCCCAAGTTCTCTCACGTCACCCCGCTCCTCCGCACACTCCACTGGCTTCCAGTTGAAGCTCGCATCTGCTACAAGACCATGGTGCTTGCCTATGGAGCTGTGAGGGGAACGGCACCTCCGTACCTTCAGGCTCTGATCAGTCCCTACACCCAAACGAGGGCATTGCGTTCATCCACCTCTGGCCTGCTGGCCCCCCTACCTCTGCGGCGCACAGTTCCCGCTCAGCCCAGTCAAAACTGTTCGCTTGTTCCACCCCAATGGTGGAACAAGCTCCCTCACGACGCCAGGACAGCGGAGTCACTCACCACCTTCCGGAGACACTTGAAACCCCACCTCTTTAAGGAATACCTGGGATAGGATAAAGTAATCCTTCTAATCCCCCTTACCCCCCCCAAAAAAAATATATATATATATATATTGTAAAGTGGTTATCCCACTGGCTATAAGGTGAATGCACCAATTTGTAAGTCACTCTGGATAAGAGCGTCTGCTAAATGACGTAAATGTAAATGTAAATGTAAATGTATTATTTTCTTCTATTCTAACTCTCAAAAGTAAGTTGAGACCTAGCAGCCGGGTGCCCTAAGCGACCGCTTATGTCGCGTAATGCCTGAAGCCGTCTCATTAGCACTCATTATATGCTGCTGCTACTCTGTTCTTTATTTTACTCTTATTATTATCTATCCTGATGCCTAGTTACTTTGTGGTCCTCTGTAGCTCAGCTGGTAGAGCACGGCGCTTGTAACGCCAAGGTAGTGGGTTCGATCCCAGGGACCACCCATACACAAAAAAATGTATGCACGCATGACTGTAAGTCGCTTTGGATAAAAGCGTCTGCTAAATGGCATATTATTATTATTACTTTACTCTGCCTTCATGTACAGTACATATCTACCTCAAATACCTCATGTCCCTGCACATTGATCTGGCACTCCCTGCATATAGCTCCTTTCTTCTGTATTTTATTCCTCTTGAGTTACTATTTTTCTTTGTATAAATATTTTTTTACTATGCATCGTCGGGAAGTGCTCGTAAACAAGCATTTGATTTGATTTGTGAAGTAACACCTTGTGCAAATGCACCATATATCTAACACTAGATGGCGAACTAGGACAGACAAATATTATAAGTGCTAGTTCTACTTTTTACCTCTAGGTGCCGCTAAAATGTCACTATTTTCATTGCAATATCAATCTCAAGATCCTTGCAGAGTAGTACAGACGCTGTATTCAACTTGAAAAGCTAGCTAGCTAAACATTTGTTGCAAGATTATACTCTACAGTTGTCTTCTTACTGCTTCCACGTGGACATACCTATCTACATTTCTGAGGAGACTCAAGACATTTCGTAAAATGTGACGGTTGGTAAAATGTCTGCAATTACCGAATTAGTTGCAAGATCAACTTTGTTCTAGCCATATGTTTCCTGAAAATTAAGCTAGCTAGATGCCTGCCTAGCCACCCGCCCTTTGCTAAGCTAGCTATTTTTAGCTATAGCAAGCTAAATTATCGGTAGTCAAAATCTTAACTAGCTAGCTAGTTAGGCAACTTAACTAGCTAGCTATCTACTTGTAAAAAGTAAACTTTTATTCTGTTGTTAGTTTTGAGCTCTGTAACTCTGTTAGCCTGACCAAGTTAAATGCTTTCCGGGGCAAGCCAGCTAACGTTAGGCCCATCATCATCATCATAGACGCTGTCACAGGTCTCATTAGCACTTTTGTCATTAGCTTTCCAACTGTCCTTAGGTTAGTTAACGAGAGATAAGAAAGTTGTAGTTATTGACAGTCCGAAGAGATTAGTATATTGACACTTAACTATCCAAACATTGGACTCGTGGTTAGCTAGTTACACTGATACTTAGTTAGCTAATTTAGCTATCTAGCTAATCTGTGGGTTCATAGCTCATTGTTCTAGAAAGCTAGGTAGCTAAAGTACTAACTAGCTAGCTGACAGCTCACACATTGCTGCGTACTGTGGGCTGGCAAGGTTAACTAGTAATTTACGCTAGTTAACAAATGTGTATTTAACTTTCTAGCTAGTTAGGTAGCTAACTAAGATCATGTAACACAGTTTGCTGCTTTGTAACCTAGCAAGCTAGTTAGTTTGTTTCTAGTAGAAGCTAGCTAGCTAGCTAGCGAAGTAGATTGTCTGGCCAGCATAGCCAACGCCTCCTTATTGTTGTTAACGCTAGCTAGCTAGCTAGCGCATTGTTGTCAAGCACTTGTTTACAATGCTAGCTAGCTAAACCTATTACAGGCACAACAACAGCCGGATGTAATCCTCAATTTGAATTTAGACCAACTTGTTCCCCTGTAATTAGTTGAAACATAGTGGAGGTATTAGAGCTAGTAGCAGCACTGACTCTCATCATATAAACAAAACTTGTTTTATAAAAAGGTGTGTGACCAGGTCATGAACTCATACAACAACAAGTACTAGTAACTGACTTTAATTATCATAGCAACTACTGCTTTGACAGATGGGATGTATGTTTCTCGTGCATAATCTTTAAGGGGATTGTTTCAGAAAGTGAGGTGACAGTCCAGACAACTTTGGGTTAAGGAGGTTGGCTTGACAATATGGCATGACTGGTGTGCACTATGAATGCATGCCTTTTACAGTGTTGACTACATTTTCATTTTTCTCTCCAATAGTGACTTACTATGGCCTCTGGAAGTCATGATGGGCAAGGCAGGGAATTCCACCACGGCAAACCTCATGGATTTCTCCATCACATCAGCATCCACTCTGCAGCTGACAAGAACATGAAGGAGGTGAGTGGATCTCAAGGGGGGGGAGTGTTTAACTTGGTACTCAATTGCATCCCGATTCTCCGCACTTTTCCCACAGTGTGCACTTGCGCAATCCCTGTCTTTTAAATAAAAGCATTAGATTGATGTAAGCATTGAGGAGAAGGTATTTTCACCAGTGTTCAATCTAATGCACACTTCGGAAAGTGATTCTGTTATGAATATAAACCAAGAAGTGTTTACTAACCTAGTCAAAGATTTGCCTCTTTAAAGAAAACTGTAGGAGTGTTTATCGCCTATCCTTTTGTTTTAGGTGGATTTTTTAAATAAGGAAGAAATAGATAAAGAGAGGTGAGTTTTCCAGGTCTATGTGAATCCAATGCACAAGCAGCCATTCCTAGCACTGCCGTCACATCTGCTCAGTCACTGGGGAAAATTCAACATTGAAACACCTTTCCAACTTTTCCCAAACACTGCCACAGTGTCTGGTCTACTTACTCAACCAGTGCAAGTATCAATACAAAATCCTTACCTCTCTTCACCTGGACTTTTCCTTCTCCAACCATCAGATTTCCAGTGAGTCGTTGTGCACACATCAAAGCCAAACGAGTGTCTGTGTGCAACAAGAGGAAGTTGTCGTCGCGTCACAGCGTGGTGGTGAGCTCAGGAGTGCGCCGCAGAGCGCCCCCCGCAGGCCGGGCTGTCTGTGACATGGCCAACAAGGAGAATGAACTGACCTGTCCAGAGGAAGTGCAGGCCATACACTACAATGACAACTGCGTGTTCCCCGTGAACTCTGCTTCAGAGGCTGGCTCCAAGATGGCAGGGTCGGGAAACAAGTACAGTGATTATTTCACTGAGGTGAGAGACTACCAGCCGGCCCCAATTCACTCCCTACCCCATCCCATAGGTCCCCTGATCCTTTGATGTTTGCAGACCTGTAGGGAGCGATCATTGGGACAGACCACTGCTGCGCTACATACTGTTCATTCCCAACATCAAACCCTTGCCCCTACGCTCTAGGCACTTGTGTAGATCTGAGAGGGTTGGAATTGTCACCATATTACCCATACCTTTCCATTCCTTGCACAGTGGGTAGATGCAAGGGATAGATTTGTAGACTTTGTTTATCGGGAAGAAAAGTGTCACTTGCATTGTCTTCCTTTGGATCGTTGAAGTGGATTTTATTGACATGTTCTTTATCGGCCCCTCCCTATGGGAATCTTTCCTGACCAGCTATCGAAGGACCATGATGCAATGACACATGTGCTTTTTGGAAGAAATCTCCGGCTAAATGTAGCTCTGACACTATGGCGAAGAAACGCCAGCGAACTAGTGGCATACTTGATCAGGTAGGAACACTGACTTTTGATCCATTTTCATGTTTGAAGGACTTCTTCTTCATATATACAGTTAATGATTAATCAACATGTTCATGTCCAATAAACACTGTCTGTCTTTGTTCCATAGAATTGAAGACACAGGCGTGCTTCTTGACTGCCTACCAGTTATAACGAAAAGGTGCGTATCGCAGTTGAATCAAACATCATCATGTATTGCTGTGATGAGTCAACTTGTGACACGTGTTCATTTTGTCTCTCTTGTTTTGCTCCCGTAGCCTTCAAGACGAAGCTCCGTGCATATCACTGGGCTGTTGTGTAGACCTCCTGCCTCAAGTCAAATCAATCCTCGCCAGTGAATATGAAGAGTAAGATCAGCTGTGGAACTTAAGAACTGCTGCTGTGTCCACCTGCTGAAACCTCAATTCCAATGTTTTTCTGTTTGTTCCTTCTCCAGACACTTGATTGTGGGTTTACACTGGGTTCAGTCTGTCATTAAGAAATGGTGGCCAGAACTCTCCGCAAACGGCAAGAGCCTGCAGGACAGCTGCTCAGAAGACGGGTATGTTAACAGATATTTATGAATTCGTCACTCTCCTGTCTGCAATGTAATAGCTGCAGGACAGCTGCTGTGCTGAGGAGATTAGCCTCTTGCTTCGTGTTGTCTTTGTTTGTTGTTGAAAAGTTGCCCAACTGGTTTCCCTGGTAATGCTAACTTCATATCAGTTATTCTCCCTTTAACATTAGAAGCCTAATTGGGTATGCTTATACAGTGCCTATCATAAGCATTCACCCCCTTGCATTTGTTCACTTTTTATTGTTACAAAGTGGGATTAAAATTGATTGATTTGTCATTTTTTGTAAATGATCTTCACAAAATACTCTGTCGAAGATGAATGAAAAATAAAACACTAAAATACCTTGATTAGATACAGTAAGTATTCAAATCAAATGTTATGTCACATGCGCCGAACAGGTGTAGACCTTTCAGTGAAATGCTTACTTAGAAGCCCTTAACCAACAATGCAGTTCAAGAAATAGAATTTAAAAAAATATTTACTAAATAAAAGAAAGTAACACAATTAAAATAACTATAACGAGGTTATATACAGGGGGTACCGGTACCGAGTCAATGTGCGGGGGTACAGGTTAGTCGAGGTAATTTGTACATGTAGGTAGGGGTAAAGTGACTATGCATAGATAATAGACAGCGAGTAGCAGCAGTGTAAAAACAAAGAGGAGGGTGTCAATGTAAATAGTCCGGGTAGCCATTTTATTAATTGTTCAGCAGTCTTATGGCTTGGGGGTAGAAGCTGTTAAGGAGCCTTTTGGACCTAGACTTGGTGCTCCGGTACCCCTTGCCGTGCGGTAGCAGAGAGAACAGTCTATGACTAGGGTGGCTGGAGTCTTTGACAATTTTTTGGGCCTTCCTCTGACACCGCCTAGTATATAGGTCCTGGATGGCAGGAAGCTTGGCCCCAGTGATGTACTGGGCTGTACGCACTACCCTCTGTAGTGCCTTACGGTCGGATGCCGAGCAGTTGCCATACCAGGCGGTGATGCAACCTGTCAGGATGCTCTCGACGGTGCAGCTGTATAACTTTTTGAGGCTCTGGGGATACGTGCCAAATCTTTTCAGTCTCCTGAAGGGGAATAGGCTTTGTCGTGCCCTCTTCACGACTGTCTTGGTGTGCTTGGACCAGGATAGTTTGTTGGTGATGTGGAAACCAAGGAACTTGAAGCTCTCAACCCGCTCAACTACAGCCCCGTTGATGTGAATGGGGCGTGTTCGGCCCTCCTTTAATTGTATTCCACGATAAGCTCCTTTGTCCTTTGTCTCACGTTGAGGGAGAGGTTGTTGTCCTAGCACCACACGGCCAGATCTCTGACCTCCTCCCTATAGGCTGTCTCATCATTGTTGGTGATCAGGCATACCACCGTTGTGTCATCAGCAAACTTAATGATGGTGTTAGTCGTGCTTGGCCACGCAGTCGTGGGTGAACAGGGAGTACAGGAGGGGACTAAGCATGCACCCCTGAGGGGCCCCCGTGTTGAGAATCAGTGTGGCAGATGTGTTGTTGCCTACCCTTACCACCTGGGGGCGACCCGTCAGGAAGTCCAAGATCCAGTTGCAGAGGGAGATGTTTAGTCCCAGGGTCCTTGGCTTAGTGATGAGTTTTGTGGGCACTATGGTGTTGAACGCTGAGCTGTAGTCAATGAACAGCATTCTCACATAGGTGTTCCTTTTGTCCAGGTGGGAAAGCGGCAGTGTGGATTGCGTCATCTTTGGATCTGTTGGGACGGTATGCGAATTGGAGTGAGTCTAGGGTTTCCGGAATGATGGTGTTGATGTGAGCCATGACCAGCCTTTCAAAGCACTTCATGGCTACCGACGTGAGTGCTACTGGGCGGTAGTCATTTAGGCAGGTCACCACCCCTGAGTCAATACATGTTAGAAACACCTTTGGCAGCGAATACTCTTGGGTACGTCTGTAAGAGCTTTGTACACCTGGATTGTGCAATATTTGCCCATTCTTGTCAAAGTTCTTCAAGCTCTGTCATGGTGTTTGAGATCATGGATAGACAGCAATTACCAAGTCTTGCTATAGATTTCCAAGCAGATTTTAGTCAAAACTGTAACGTGGCAACTCAGGACAAGTTTCTGAGAGTCAACAGCTTGCGTGGTAGGCGGCTCACAGGACAACGGCTTCAAGCACAGCTTAACACTGTTCGAAGTAAGCAAGTCTCAGTCTCAACTGTGAAGAGAAGACTTGGAGCTGCAGGTTTGACAGGTGGAGTGGCAGTAAGAAAGCCATTGCTAAGATGGATAAATAAGAAAAAGAGGCTTGCCTGGGTCATAAAGCACCGCCAGTGGACTACTGAAGACTGGAAGAAGGTCTTATGGACCGATTTAATCCAAATTTGAAATCTTTGGTTCATCGCGCAGGGTTTTTGTACCCCGCCGAGTAGGCGAAAGGATTGTTCCTCAGTGTGTGACACCAAGCGTGATGGTCTGGGGCTCTTTTGCTGGATCCAGAGTCGGCGACTTGCACAGAGTGAGTGGCACCCTGAACCAAAACGGCTACCACAGCATTGTGCAGCGCCATGCAATAACCTCTGGTGAACGCCTAGTTGGTCAGTGGTTCATCCTACAGCAAGATAATGACCCAGAACACACCTCCAGGCTGTCAGAACTACCTTAGAAGAAAATAACAAGATAGTAGGCTTTAAAACATGGAATGGCCAGCACAGTCTCCAGACTTAAACCCCGTTGAGCTGGTTTGGGATGAACTGGGCAGAAGGGTGAAAGCAAAGCAACCTACAAGTGCAACACATTTGTGGGAACTTCTGCAACAGTGTTGGGAAGAACTTTCCGAATGCCACGAGGCTGTTGTGTCTGCAAAAGGTGGCTACTTTGATGAGTAAAAATTACATTTTGTTAAACAAAACGATTCCATGATTGCTTTTTTGTCTCCAATTGTTTATTTGTTCTATGCTTTAATTTCAGAGTACATTAAGACATTAAACTGTGAATTTCAATAAAAAATGGAAAAATGGAGGTGTGTACTAAATCTTTTGACCAGGTATGTATGTGTGTATGGGGAACAGAGGAAGGGGTAGTCATTTAAAAAAATGTAAATCCCTATTACTTCAGAGTCCATGTAACTTATTATGTTACTTGTTAAGCCAAATTTTACTCCTGAAGTATTTTATGCTTACCTAAACAAAGGGGGTGAATACTTATGCAACTACTATTTTAGTTAAAAAAAAAAAAAGCTGTATTTTGTGTAGATCAATGACAAATAGGGGGGTGAATACTTATAATACCCACTGTATGTCTGTTTTGCAGGAACCTCCAAGTCATGAAGCAGCAGCTGAAGGAGTTCTGGGAGGAGGGACCCCAGTTAAGTTTAGTTCCAGGAACTACAGGAGAGATGGCAAAGGTAAGGTGTCATTGCTACCCTTAATGCTATTGATCCATGAGGCTAACAGAGAGATATTGTTGAAGCCTTTCTGCCAAGAATAGATCAACATTTCACCTGCAAAGTCAAACTTCTCACCTCCTTTTAACTTTGTTCATTTCAGGCAATGGAGTCTAGCTTGACTTCTCTCTCTTCTCTCACTTCTCTCTCACCAGGCCATTGAGTCTTACTTATCACAACTGCATTGACCAATCAATCAATGTAGCACTGAGGAAGCGACCACTACTGCCGGATAGAGCTGTTTCAACATTACCTGGAGACTAAAGACAAGACCATGTTCCACACACAGACAGGAACCCTGTTCTATTCTATGTGGATTGATGAAATCAGTGATTCAGACTGAGCAACTCCCCACGCTCAATCACAACTAGAGAGACACTTACAATGGAGGAAGGAACTTTTCTTTCTGAAAAAAACTGGAATTCCTGCTTCACATTGAAGTGGATCGATGTCTTGCGAAGGGGCAATACTTCAATCGACCTCCATGAGACTGAGTCGAAAACGTACCCTATTTCCTCTATAGTGCACTACTTTTGACCGGAATAGGACACACTAAGACTGGCTCTGGGCTGCTCTGTGAAGTGCCAAGCTCTTTCGCACCACCACAGCACTCTTCACCATGGTGTGCAAACCTACACGGATTATGGATGTAACGTAATGAACGCCCCTTCCTGGTTTCAGTTCTTATTTCTTCCCTCATGTCCTGAATTAAGAACTTGAAACTAACTGCTGCAGTCTTAAGTTATGAGAGCTTTTCTTGTTTTCGTTTTTTTTTTTTTTCTGTTCATGAGTGACGTTTGACTGTAAAAGTGTAAATACAGTGATTCTTTTAATCTTTAAAATAAATTAGCAAAAATCTGTCAAATGAATTATTTCTCAAAACATAGTGGCCACATAAACGTTATATTCTTCTGTTATGCCCATGGTGATATAAGACAATATTTGACAGCAAATGCTATTTTTCTGAGAACAGCTATTGTTAGGAAAAGAAAGACTCACTGCACTAGTTTTATGAAAACATTTAGCTTCTGTTTGAGCAAAGACCTAAATGGGGAAAGATGTCCATCTGAATCTTGCTATACTGTTCAGTGTCACTTCCATGCCCAAAAAGTTTGTACTTGGAAGAAAATGCTCTGAGGCTTCTAATTTTAGTTCAGGCAGTAACGTTTGTCATTACAGGATAATGGGACAATGGCTTTGAAATTGAGGAAAAACAAACTAGCTCTTAAATGTCCATTACCATTTGTTTACTTTCGTTCCACCAATGAAATGTTTTTACTATCGACAGATCTCAGTTTACACCCCTGAGTATGTTTACACAGGGAAAGTGCGTATTTCCGTGAGTGTCAATAAAGTTTTTCGAAAATGTAGGTGACGTCAGCATTTCCCAACTGCAGAGGCAACACAGACAGCGGATGCAAAACATTCACCTGCTCATCGGCTACATGATTTCAGCGAATCTATTATAGTTATTTACCAATAGAACACGTACCGTTGTTGAAATACTGCAAGCAAACATGTTGCTGCAGGTTAGACTATCAGAAGTATGCCTCTTTCTACAGGCTATGTTTATTTTAGCGTGCTGTTTCAGTGATATGGATTCGGGGCCTATCGCGACGGGTGGATCTGTTCAACCAAACGGAGATCGTTTCAAAATCGAGGGTCGGGCAATCGTTCCTGGGGTGAAAACTCAAGACTGGATTTCGTCAGCCCGAGTCACGGTAGAGGGAGAAGAGTATATAGGCTTCTTGAGGTAATACTGTAGGCTTGGACGACGAAAAACATGGATTGTTGTGCTAACTAAGGGCTAACGCTAACCGGGGCCCTGTGCTCACACTAAAGGCTATCCTCGTTTGCTGCTAGCCTAGTTTTTAGTTGACAGCTAGCTAACGTTATCGGTGTTATAATAATAAGCCATTTAGCAAAAGCTTTTATCCAAAGCGACTTACAGTCATGCGTGCATACATTTTTGTGTATGGGTGGTCCCGGGGATCGAACCCACTACCCTGGCGTTACAAGCGCCGTGCTCTACCAGCTGAGCTACAGGTGATTGAGATGGAGAGCTAATTGAGACTGCTTAGTGTCCAGCATTATCATGTTAGCTAACGTAGCTAGCTGGTTAACTAATTATTAAGAATAGCGGACATTCATAAAGATGGCTGCCTCCATCTTTCAAATGCCTCATTTGCTAAAAGTTCGCCGTATTAAACAGTGTACTCCATTGAATTCCTCCATCTTGACTTTATGCACCTTGGCCATTGACAGTGGCCCTACACCATTTGTTCTAATCTCCTCCCCCACTTTGATACAGCTCCCACTCTGGCCAAGGGGCCCCAACACCTGTTATGAATCGACATTATAATGCTAGATCAAACTGAGCATGGCTACAGTATGATGATGGTTATTGATGCCTTTGAAACCCCTGACTTACTCTCTCTGCAGAACTGATGGAAGTTTCGTTGTTAATGATGTTCCCTCTGGATCCTACGTTGTGGAAGTGATCTCACCTGGATACAAATTTGAAGCAGTCCGTGTGGACATCACGTCTAAGGGGAAAATGAGGTACAGTTAGGGCTGTGGCGGTCTTGACATTTTGTCAGCCGGTAACTGTCATGCAAATAACTGCTGGTCTCTGGTAATTTACCGTTAATTAACATAAACAAGTTTAACATCGCCTACAAGCAACTGATATAGACCTTTTGGAATATCTACATTTTTAAAAGGTCTAATAAATCCATTTAAAATAGCCTACACCATCTCAATAAATCCATTATTTTAGGCAGGTCTAAAGAAACATGATATTAAGAAAATGTAGAGAGAATTGCATATGCTGAGTCGTCCTTATGTTAGGCCCTGATCTGGCTATGCCATACAGCAGGTTCTTCAATTCCGGTCCTGGAGGGCCGAAACACTTCTGTTTTTTATTTCTACCTGGTAGTTAATTGCACTCACCTGGTGTCCCAGGTCTGAATTAGCCCCTGATTAGAAGGAGAGGATGAAAAACAGAGGTGTTTCGGCCCTCCAGGACCGGAATTGAAGAACCCTGCCATACAGTATGGCTGTGGGCTACGCTAGTTCATTTAGCAGACAAGATTTGCTTATGTACTGAACAAAAATGTAAACGTAACATGCAAAAATTTCAAAGATTTGACTGAGTTACAGTTCATATAAGGAAATCAGTCAATTGAAATAAATAAATTAGGCCCAAAGCTATTGATTTTACATGACTGCGAATACAGATGCATCTGTTGGTCACAGATACTTTTTTTTTTTTTTTAAGGTAGGGGCATGGATCAGAAAACCAGTCAGTAGCTGGTGTGACCACCATTTGCCTTATGCAGCGCGACACATCCCCTTTGCATGAAATTGATCAGGCTGTTGATTGTGGCATGTGTAGACCTTAGAGTGAAATGCTTACTTACAAGCCATTAACCAACAATGCAGTTTTATGAAAAATAAGTTAAAGTATTTACAAAAATAAACTGAAGTAAAAATAATAAAGAAAACAGAAGGAAATAGAAAAATAACGAATAATTAAAGAGCAACAATAAAATAACAGTAACAATAATAATATAATAATATGCCATTTAGCAGACGCTTTTATCCAAAGCGACTTAGTCATGCGTGCATACATTTTTTTTTTTTGTGTATGGGTGGTCCCGGGGATCGAATCCACTACCTTGGCGTTACAAGCGCCGTGCTCTACCAGCTGAGCTACAGAGGACCACTAACAAGGCTATATACAGGGGGTACCGGTACAGAGTCAATGTGCGGGGGCACCGGTTAGTCAAGGTATTATGTACATGTAGGTAAAGTGACTATGCATAGATAATAAACTGAGAGTAGCAGCAGTGTAAAATTGGGGGGGAGGGTCAATGCAAATAGTCAGTGTAGCCATTTGATTAGCTGTTCAGGAGTCTTATGGCTTGGGGTTAGAAGCTGTTAAGAAGCCTTTTGGACCTAGACTTGGTGCTCCGGTACCGCTTGCCGTGCGGTAGCAGAGAGAACAGTCTATGACTAGGTTGGCTGGAGTCTTTGGCAATTTTTAGGGCCTTCCTCTGACACCACCTGGTATAGAGGTCCTGGATGGCAGGAAGCTTGGTGATGTACTGGGTCGTAAGCACTACCCTCTGTAGTGCCTTGCGGTCAAAGGCCGAGCAGTTGCCTTACCACAGGCGGTGATGCAACCAGTTCTCTCGATGGTGCAGCTGTAGACATTTGTGAGGATCTGAGCACCCATGCCAAATCCAAGATTTTTCAAATACATTGAGTAGCTATTGTAATTCTCAATGGATGTAAAAACAGACTTTGAGAAGCTCCGCAGGTCATTAGTAGTGGTGCGTTAAGCCAATCAGAAATACTATCAGATCCCCAAATGGGCACATTTATATGCCTACAATTGCGCAGGCCAGCTAGCCTACGTCTAAAATTATAGACTGATCATGTCTTTGTCAGTGGGCAAACGTACAAAATCAGCAGGGGATCAAATACTTTTTTCCTTCACTGTGTGTATATATATATATATATGTGTGTATATACACTGCTCAAAAAAATTAAGGGAACACTTAAACAACACAATGTAACTCCAAGTCAATCACACTTCTGTGAAATCAAACTGTCCACTTAGGAAGCGACACTGATTGACAATAAATGTCACATGCTGTTGTGCAAATGGAATAGACAACAGGTGGAAATTATAGGCAATTAGCAAGACACCCCCAATAAAGAAGTGGTTCTGCAGGTGGTGACCACAGACCACTTCTCAGTTCCTATGCTTCCTGGCTGATGTTTTGGTCACTTTTGAATGCTTTTGGTGCTTTCACTCTAGTGGTAGCATGAGACGGAGTCTACAACCCACACAAGTGGCTCAGGTAGTGCAGCTCATCCAGGATGGCACATCAATGCGAGCTGTGGCAAGAAGGTTTGCTGTGTCTGTCAGCGTAGTGTCCAGAGCATGGAGGCGCTACCAGGAGACAGGCCAGTACATCAGGAGACGTGGAGGAGGCCGTAGGAGGGCAACAACCCAGCAGCAGGACCGCTACCTCCTCCAGCAGGACCGCTACCTCCTGCCAGAGCCCTGCAAAATGACCTCCAGCAGGCCACAAATGTGCATGTGTCTGCTCAAACGGTCAGAAACAGGGTGGTATGAGGGCCCGACGTCCACAGGTGGGGGTTGTGCTTACAGCCCAACACCGTGCAAGACGTTTGGCATTTGCCAGAGAACACCAAGATTGGCAAATTCGCCACTGGCGGCCTGTGCTCTTCACAGATGAAAGCAGGTTCACACTGGAGACGCCGTGGAGAACGTTCTGCTGCCTGCAACATCCTCCAGCATGACCGGTTTGGCGGTGGGTCAGTCATGGTGTGGGGTGGCATTTCTTTGGGGGGCCGCATAGCCCTCCATGTGCTCGCCAGAGGTAGCCTGACTGCCATTAGATACCGAGATGAGATCCTCAGACCCCTTGTGAGACCATATGCTGGTGCAGTTGGCCCTGGGTTCCTCCTAATGCAAGACAATGCTAGACCTCATGTGGCTGGAGTGTGTCAGCAGTTCCTGCAAGAGGAAGGCATTGATGCTATGGACTGGCCCGCCCGCCCGTTCCCCAGACCTGAATCCAATTGAGCACATCTGGGACATCATGTCTCGCTCCATCCACCAACGCCACGTTGCACCACAGACTGTCCAGGAGTTGGCGGATGCTTTAGTCCAGGTCTGGGAGGAGATCCCTCAGGAGACCATCCGCCACCTCATCAGGAGCATGCCCAGGCGTTGTAGGGAGGTCATACAGGCACATGGAGGCCACACACACTACTGAGCCTCATTTTGACTTGTTTTAAGGACATTACATCAAAGTTGGATCAGCCTTGTAGTGTGGTTGTTTTTTCCACTTTAATTTTGAGGGTGACTCCAAATCCAGACCTCCATGGGTTGATAAAGTTTGATTTCCATTGATAATTTTGTGTGATTTTGTTTGTCAGCACATTCAACTATGTTAAAGAAAAAAGTATTTAATAAGATTATTCATTCATTCAGATCTAGGATGTGTTGTTTAAGTGTTCCCTTTATTTTTTGAATAAGTATTTGGTCACCTACAAACAAGCAAGATTTCTGGCTCTCACAGACCTGTAACTTCTTCTTTAAGAGGCTCCTCTGTCCTCCACTCGTTACCTGTATTAATGGCACCTGTTTGAACTTGTTATCAGTATAAAAGACACCTGTCCACAACCTCAAACAGTCACACTCCAAACCCCACTATGGCCAAGACCAAAGAGCTGTCAAAGGACACCAGAAACAAAATTGTAGACCTGCACCAGGCTGGGAAGACTGAATCTGCTGGGAAGACTGAATCCTAGGTAAGCAGCTTGGTTTGAAGAAATCAACTGTGGGAGCAATTATTAGGAAATGGAAGACATACAAGACCACTGATAATCTCCCTCGATCTGGGGCTCCACGCAAGATCTCACCCCGTGGGGTCAAAATGATCACAAGAACGGTGAGCAAAAATCCCAGAACCACACGGGGGGACCTAGTGAATGACCTGCAGAGAGCTGGGACCAAAGTAACAAAGCCTACCATCAGTAACACACTACGCCGCCAGGGACTCAAATCCTGCAGTGCCAGATGTGTCCCCCTGCTTAAGCCAGTACATGTCCAGGCCCGTCTGAAGTTTGCTAGAGTGCATTTGGATGATCCAGAAGAGGATTGGGAGAATATCATATGGTCAGATGAAACCAAAATAGAACTTTTTGGTAAAAACTCAACTCGTCGTGTTTGGAGGACAAATAATGCTGAGTTGCATCCAAAGAACACCATACCTACTGTGAAGCATGGGGGTGGAAACATCATGCTTTGGGGCTGTTTTTCTGCAAAGGGACCAGGACGACTGATCCGTGTAAAGGAAAGAATGAATGGGGCCATGTATCGTGAGATTTTGAGTGAAAACCTCCTTCCATCAGCAAGGGCATTGAAGATGAAACGTGGCTGGGTCTTTCAGCATGACAATGATCCCAAACACACCGCCCGAGCAACGAAGGAGTGGCTTCGTAAGAAGCATTTCAAGGTCCTGGAGTGGCCTAGCCAGTCTCCAGATCTCAACCCCATAGAAAATATTTGGAGGGAGTTGAAAGTCCGTGTTGTCCCAGCGACAGCCCCAAAACATCACTGCTCTAGAGGAGATCTGCATGGAGGAATGGGCCAAAATACCAGCAAATAGTGTGTGAAAACCTTGTGAAGACTTACAGAAATCGTTTGACCTGTGTCATTGCCAACAAAGGGTATATAACAAAGTATTGAGAAACTTTTGTTATTGACCAAATTCTTATTTTCCACCATAATTTGCAAATAAATTCATAAAAAATCCTACAATGTGATTTTCTGGAATTTTCTTTCTCATTTTGTCTGTCATAGTTGACGTGTACCTATGATGAAAATTACAGGCCTGTCATCTTTTTAAGTGGGATAACTTGCACAATTGGTGGCTGACTAAATACTTTTTTTCCCCACTGTGTGTGTGTGTGTGTGTGTATATATATATATATATATATATATATATCTATATATATATATATATAGGGTGTATATATATGTTACTGCTTGACCCAAAAAATTATTGGTTGACCAACAGCCTACCGACCAAACAATCGGCCAGTCGACTAATTGGGGTCAGCTCTAGTTGGTAGTTCTGTGCAGGGTGTGAGGGTCGTTGAGGGAGGCAAACAAAACTACGTGTTTTGTCCTCATACTTGGGGCCGATTTCCCATTTGAAAGTGCCTCTTAAGTCTGAGACTAGTCTTATTCTGTGTCCGGGAGAAGGTCCTTTGATGTCTAGCCTCTGCCAGGCTTATAGCTAGTGTACATGGCAGGGAAGGAGACGACTCAATGTCTAAGCTGTGGTTGACTACACAGGGCCCGCCTGGTGAACTTCATCAAGACGTCCGAGGTGATCCGCCAGCCTTACCCACTCCAGTTGAGGTCATCTGGGCCACACACCTACTTCATGAAGAGAGAGACCTGGGGGTGGACCGACTTCCTCATGAATCCCATGGTATGATCAGATGCGAATGATGGTGCTCTTTGGAGCTTGTGCTTTAGGAGGGTCATGCTGTGTCGTTAGATGCTGAGTAAAGTGAAGGTCTACCTTTTGTGATTGGTTGAGTCCTACTGTGCTAATAGTTGTAGTATTACTGTCTGGCAATTGCTTTACTGTCGCATGCAAGCACCCAAAGATGCCACACCGCTCCTTCAGCACACATGCCTCCCTAACAGTTGACATTTGAATAGTGCCTTTTTGCATGTCATTATCATGATGTTATGTACTAGTGAGAAATAGACACACTGAGGCCTAGAACAGAGATCTAGAAAGTATAAGATGGAAACAATAGAAGCTGGTGCCCTCTGCTGTTTAATACATCTCTGTTTCCCCGGGTCATGATGATGGTCCTTCCTCTGCTGTTTAATACATGTCTCTGTTTCCCCGGGTCATGATGATGGTCCTTCCTCTGCTGTTTAATACATGTCTCTGTTCCCCGGGTCATGATGATGGTCCTTCCTCTGCTGTTTAATACATGTCTCTGTTTCCCCGGGTCATGATGATGGTCCTTCCTCTGCTGTTTAATACATGTCTCTGTTTCCCCGGGTCATGATGATGGTCCTTCCTCTGCTGTTTAATACATGTCTCTGTTTCCCCGGGTCATGATGATGGTCCTTCCTCTGCTGTTTTAATACATGTCTCTGTTTCCCCGGGTCATGATGATGGTCCTTCCTCTGCTGTTTTAATACATGTCTCTGTTTCCCCGGGTCATGATGATGGTCCTTCCTCTGCTGTTTAATACATGTCTCTGTTTCCCCGGGTCATGATGATGGTCCTTCCTCTGCTGTTTAATACATGTCTCTGTTTCCCCGGGTCATGATGACGGTCCTTCCTCTGCTGTTTAATACATCTCTGTTTCCCCGGGTCATGATGATGGTCCTTCCTCTGCTGTTTAATACATGTCTCTGTTTCCCCGGGTCATGATGATGGTCCTTCCTCTGCTGTTTAATACATGTCTCTGTTTCCCCGGGTCATGATGATGGTCCTTCCTCTGCTGTTTAATACATGTCTCTGTTTCCCCGGGTCATGATGATGGTCCTTCCTCTGCTGTTTTAATACATGTCTCTGTTTCCCCGGGTCATGATGATGGTCCTTCCTCTGCTGTTTAATACATGTCTCTGTTTCCCCGGGTCATGATGATGGTCCTTCCTCTGCTGTTTAATACATGTCTCGGTTTCCCCGGGTCATGATGACGGTCCTTCCTCTGCTGTTTAATACATCTCTGTTTCCCCGGGTCATGATGACGGTCCTTCCTCTGCTGTTTAATACATGTCTCTGTTTCCCCGGGTCATGATGACGGTCCTTCCTCTGCTGTTTAATACATCTGTTTCCCCGGGTCATGATGATGGTCCTTCCTCTGCTGTTTAATACATGTCTCTGTTTCCCCGGGTCATGATGATGGTCCTTCCTCTGCTGTTTAATACATGTCTCTGTTTCCCCGGGTCATGATGATGGTCCTTCCTCTGCTGTTTAATACATGTCTCTGTTTCCCCGGGTCATGATGACGGTCCTTCCTCTGCTGTTTAATACATCTCTGTTTCCCCAGGTCATGATGATGGTCCTTCCTCTGCTGATTATCGTCTTGCTACCTAAGGTTGTCAACACCAACGACCCTGAGATGAGAAAGGTAAATAGTAGCCTCTGATGTCACAAGTAATCAAACGAATGATCTGTGGAATTTCAGGTGATGGACGTGTCACATACGTTCTTTGTTACATTGCCTAGGCTCTCTCCCCCTTACAATAGTGTATTGCTTACGTCTCCATATATCGCCTAGCAGTTGTCCGTAAGGGGGAACTTACCTCATCCACCACCAATGTGAAGCACACGTCTTACCTGTGTGATACTAATCATGTCTATTCATTGGTTCCTCTCTCCCTTCCCAGGAAATGGAGCAGTCAATGAACATGCTGAACCCCAACCCTGAGCTACCTGACGTGTCTGAGTTCATGACCAAGCTGTTCTCCGGCTCCAAGGGCTCCAGCAGCAAGGCTGTAGCTGGCAGCAAGGCTAGTGGCCGCCCGGCAGTCAAGAGGAGGTAGTACCAGAATGTTACATGCTCCCTGGGTCACCACCCTGGGTCACCACCCTGGGTCACCACCCCGGGCCTGAGGAACCACTCTTAACTGGTTATGCCATGGAAATGATAATAATACGAATTTTTTTTAAATAGCTTTTTCATTCGTCTGTACAATTGTTTTTTGAGCAGGTTTTTTTTCCTTGTCTGAAATACAAGTCTGGTTATCTGTACGTGAAATGACTGAGGATATCAGAAGGCTTGAGATGGATGTTTATTTGTATTTGTATTTTTTTGCACTGCTAACTTCAACTCGATATGAAAGAAAGAAAGATTTTACTCTTTGATGTTTTGCATTGTACCTATGAGTGACTTTGTTATGCCTGCTTGGTCCCTTCATGTACTCCTCATCGTTTAACCCTCGTCTCATTGGATAGATGGGATACTAACTGTGTCTAACAACCCTCTGGTGTGTACTACTGTTCTGCGGCATCAGTCGTATGTCAATTCTAATTCTTCAACTACTTGAATGAGAGCTTATATCAATTTTCAGAGATGTTCTTCTTTTTCTGAGTTAGGGCCAAAGGTAATATGACTGTGAATGGACTTTAAAATGTATTGCATTTGAATTATTAAACAGACTTATTTAAATACCAAGGTAAAATAAAATATAGATGGTGAAGCTGTCTCCTTCTCAGTTGTCCTGTGGATAGTGTGTTCCTTGCAGAGGAAACACCATAAAGAACGTTGGCAGTGCTCAGCGGGTTTGCTGTCCTATCGCCTCTGACCATAGAACATCCACCCTCCATTTTCTTTTTCATTTCCTGTCGACTACGTGTTGAATCACCACCGTTCACCTACACGCAGCAGTTTATCTACTGCGCACGGCCGACATTCGCTATCGTGTGTTCCCTCTCTTTGACACAGTCCTGTTCTAAAACTCTCATTGGAATGTCTGAAGGTTATTATGGGGATGTGGAACGTCACTGATTTTAATAAGCATTGATGAAAAATGAATCAGTCCGGTCAGTGCTTAACCAACATAAAGTAATAATAAATAATAATATGCCATTTAGAAGACGCTTTTATCCAAAGCGACTTACAGTCATGCGTGCATACATTTTTGTGTATGGGTGGTCCCGGGGATCGAACCCACTACCTTGGCGTTACAAGCGCCGTGCTCTACCAGCTGAGCTACAGAGGGCCACAGTGGTTTAACTAGGCACAATGTAAGTTATGTCCCAATGGGCTAGAGGAAGTTTGAATCATATTACTTACCCCAGATCACCTATTAATGGCTAGATTTCTGAGTTAAATGTGTAGTTATCATACCTTGGTGTGTGTTGTATTTTCCATCCCTGGGGGTATCACCTGCACAGTTCGTATAGTATGAATGAGTGGAGTTGAGTAATTCACTAGCTGCATCTCCCAGAACTGCTTGGACGGCTGTTTTTTAAATGAATAGCAAGCAGAAGCAAAGTGTTGAAATATATATTTAAATGTTTTCTCTGTGATAAATGGCCTCAATGAAAACCCCTTGTCGATTATGAATGACACTCAGGCTTGCTGTAAGGACACCTGTTATGATGAATGACTATTGATAGACCAATCTAACGTGGGAGAGAACCTGTGTGTCCAAAAGGGCACCCTATTCCCTATGTAGTGCACTGCTTTAGCGAAGGGGCAGCCACCTGCTCTGTTCTCCAACACATCAACGTTGGTAACATCTGAAATGACCCCCTATTCCCTGATAGGCTCACCTCACCACGAGTCACTCAGTCAGATAGGCTCACCTCACCATGAGTCACTCAGTCAGATAGGCTCACCTCACCATGAGTCACTCAGTCAGATAGGCTCACCTCACCATGAGTCACTCAGTCAGATAGGCTCACCTCACCATGAGTCACTCAGTCAGATAGGCTCGCCTCAGTCAGATTGCTGTCCTCTAGGTGGGTGTTCCTTTGTTCTCTGTAACACTCCTGGCACGTAGGATGTTTGAAATTAATAATGTCATTCACAGGAGAGATGATGTGATCCAGAAACAGAACAGTCGTGATGGGTTAGCTTCTGTATCCCAGGGACCCATGAGCTGTATGAGTCACCTCAGATCACTGTCCCCTAGGTGGGTGTAGGTCTGGTGTCCCTTTGTCCTCTGAACACATCTTTGTACATAGACATGGTTTGAATCATTCATGTTCAATTTATAGTTAGACATGAATAATAATGCATAATGAAAGCAGTCTGCAGAATGTAGGGTCTTTCGTGGAAGATCTGTCATACCTTAAACATTCCCCCAAGCAGTTGTAAATAAAGCTTGTGTTAAAAGAACATTCAGAGGATCTCTAATGATATCTTTCAATTTGTATTATTTCACTGATCAGATCAAAGGTACACAAGCAGCATACTATCACACAATACACTACCACGGTCAACACTGATCCATTCACAATACACTAGCATAGTCAACACTGACCAAATTCACAATATACTAGCAAGGTCAACATTGATCCATTCATAATACACTAGCAAGGTCAACACTGATCCATTCACAATACACTACCACGGTCAACACTGACCAAATTCACAATATACTAGCAAGGTCAACATAGATCCATTCACAATACACTAGCAAGGTCAACACTGATCCATTCACAATCCACTACAACTGTCAACACTGATCCATTCACAATACACTATCACGGTCAACACTGATCCATTCACAATATACTATCAAGGTCAACACTGACCCATTCACAATATACTAGTAAGGTCAACACTGATCCATTCACAATATACTAGCAAGGTCAACACTGATCCATTCACAATACAGTAGCAAGGTCAACGCTGATCCATTCACAATACAGTAGCAAGGTCAACGCTGATCCATTCACAATACAGTAGCAAGGTCAACACTGATCCATTCACAATACAGTAGCAATGTCAACACTGATCCATTCACAATATACTAGCAAGGTCAACACTGATCCATTCACAATACAGTAGCAAGGTTAACACTGATCCATTCACAATACAATAGAAATGTCAACACTGATCCATTCACAATATACTAGCAAGGTCAACACTGATCCATTCACAATATACTAGCAAGGTCAACACTGATCCATTCACAATATACTAGCATGGTCAACACTGATCCATTCACAATACAGTAGCAAGGTCAACGCTGATCCATTCACAATACAGTAGCAATGTCAACACTGATCCATTCACAATACAGTAGCAATGTCAACACTGATCCATTCACAATACAGTAGCAAGGTCAACACTGATCCATTCACAATACAGTAGCAAGGTCAACACTGATCCATTCACAATACAGTAGCAAGGTCAACACTGATCCATTCACAATACAGTAGGAATGTCAACACTGATCCATTCACAATACAGTAGCAATGTCAATGCAGATCCATTCACAATACAGTAGAAATGTCAACACTGATCCATTCACAATACAGTAGCAAGGTCAACACTGATCCATTCACAATACAGTAGCAAGGTCAACACTGATCCATTCACAATACAGTAGCAAGGTCAACACTGATCCATTGACAATACAGTAGAAAGGTCAACACTGATCCATTCACAATACAGTAGCAATGTCAACCCTGATCCATTCACAATACAGTAGCAAGGTCAACACTGATCCATTCACAATACAGTAGCAAAGTCAACACTGATCCATTCACAATACAAGTCTTTATCACCAGACCTCCGGACGAAACAAAGGCACATAGCTTATATAGGAATCATTTTACATTATGAGGGACGTGGTAGTGCAATAGTATACTGCGTCACTCATCCTCATTGGTGGATTTATGAGCACTAGTAACGACTGTGTTTTGAGCTAGCACATTTCCATTGCTATCCGTACAGTACAGTAGCAGCAATGACTCTGTGAAATGTGATATTTGTAGCAGCTCTAACATTTGTAGGAGGATGATATTTTTTGTTGGAATGTGTTTACATGAGTGTACGGTGTGTAAGCTGTTTCACCTGTGGCTGTGCCAAATACAGAGGTAATGAGTGAGGTGCCTGTTATGATAGTGCTGAAATGTGTATGTTCCAATGAGTTGGTGTCATGAACAATGTAGTTGAGGACTTGGTGGACTGTATATTCGGTAGGATTAGGTTTTACTTAGCACTAAGTGTTCTCTCCCAGGTGCTTGTAAGGGCACAGATGACAGACCGGTATGATTCCAGTTGAGGTTGTTTAATGATGTTGATTCACAGAGCAGTAACGGCACAGCGCAGCACAGTGTATGGCCTGACAATTGTGTTAACCAAGAGTTTGTGTGTGGTTATTAATGAAAGAAGCACACTGGCCTTGGCTAAAACAAATAATTCTAACTAAAGGTAATCACAGGAGATGGCTGGAACTCAAAACATAGAATTTTTCAATTTAAATTATTATACAAAATTCTTGCTACCAATAGAATGTTATTTATATGGGGGATACAATCTTCCCAGCTCTGCAGATTTTGCTGCGAAGAGACAGAATCATTAGATCATTTGTTTTGGTACTGTCCATTTGTAGCTTGTTTTTGGTCACAGGTCCAGGAATGGCTGAAGGATTGCAATATTTACCTGGAGCAAACCCTGAAGATAGCACTACTGGGTGATCTGAAAAGTCATAGACAATCGATCAATAATATAATAATACTTTTAGCAAAAATGTTTATTTTCAATTTACAATCTGTAGAGACAATGAGAATAGAAGGGTTCAGAACTTTTGTGAAACATCACAGTACAGTTGAAAAATATATGGCAAATTAAAATCCAATATGGATGGTGTTAAGAGATAGATGGGAGGTGTTGAATGGAGCTGAAGGATGGGACTAATAACAACTAACAACAACTAATCACAACAAGATAACTAATGTAAAGCATACTGTGTCCATAATAAGTATATAGGTTATAGGTTGAGAGCTTTTGTGAAAGAGCACAGTTAGAAAGATATGGCATATAGAAGCAAACCGGATGGACATCATAAAAATGAACGGAGAGGTTGAGGGTAGAGGAAGTTCAGGAGTAAAACCAAACAAAATAGAATTATTGTGAAATTGACTGTGTCCATAAAATGTATATAGTATGTATAAGCTGGAAGTAGAGGCCTAAGCATTGTTGTTCACTAGTTTACGCCAATTAGGGAAGGGGTGGTGGGGTTGGAAAGGAATAAAGGGAAATATATATATATATATATATATATATATATACACAGTGGGGAGAACAAGTATTTGATACACTGCCGATTTTGCAGGTTTTCCTACTTACAAAGCATTTAGAGGTCTGTAATTTTAATCATAGGTATACTTCAACTGTGAGAGACGGAATCTAAAACAAAAATCCAGAAAATCACATTGTATGATTTTTAAGTAATTAATTTGAATTTTATTGCATGACATAAGTATTTGATCACCTACCAACCAGTAAGAATTCCGGCTCTCACAGACCTATTCGTTTTTCTTTAAGAAGCCCTCCTGTTCTCCACTCATTACCTGTATTAACTGCACCTGTTTGAACTCGTTACCTGTATAAAAGACACCTGTCCACACACTCAATCAAACAGACTCCAACCTCTCCACAATGGCCAAGACCAGAGAGCTGTGTAAGGACATCAGGGATAAAATTGTAGACCTGCACAAGGCTGGGATGGGCTACAGGACAATAGGCAAGCAGCTTGGTGAGAAGGCAACAACTGTTGGCGCAGTTATTAGAAAATGGAAGAAGTTCAAGATGACGGTCAATCACCCTCGGTCTGGGGCTCCATGCAAGATCTCACCTCGTGGGGCATCAATGATCATGAGGAAGGTGAGGGATCAGCCCAGAACTACACGGCAGGACCTGGTCAATGACCTGAAGAGAGCTGGGACCACAGTCTCAAAGAAAACCATTAGTAACACACTACGCTGTCATGGATTAAAATCCTGCAGCGCACGCAAGGTCCCCCTGCTCAAGCCAGCGCATGTCCAGGCCCGTCTGAAGTTTGCCAATGACCATCTGGATGATCCAGAGGAGGAATGGGAGAAGGTCATGTGGTCTGATGAGACAAAAATAGAGCTTTTTGGTCTAAACTCCACTCGCCGTGTTTGGAGGAAGAAGAAGGATGAGTACAACCCCAAGAACACCATTCCAACTGTGAAGCATGGAGGTGGAAACATAATTCTTTGGGGATGCTTTTCTGCAAAGGGGACAGGACGACTGCACCGTATTGAGGGGAGGATGGATGGGGCCAAGTATCGCGAGATCTTGGCCAACAACCTCCTTCCCTCAGTAAGAGCATTGAAGATGGGTCGTGGCTGGGTCTTCCAGCATGACAACGACCCGAAACACACAGCCAGGGCAACTAAGGAGTGGCTCCGTAAGAAGCATCTCAAGGTCCTGGAGTGGCCTAGCCAGTCTCCAGACCTGAACCCAATAGAAAATCTTTGGAGAGAGCTGAAAGTCCGTATTGCCCAGCGACAGCCCCGAAACCTGAAGGATCTGGAGAAGGTCTGTATGGAGGAGTGGGCCAAAATCCATGCTGCAGTGTGTGCAAACCTGGTCAAGACCTACAGGAAACATATGATCTCTGTAATTGCAAACAAAGGTTTCTGTACCAAATATTAAGTTCTGATGTATCAAATACTTATGTCATGCAATAAAATGCAAATTAATTACTTACAAAATCATACAATGTGATTTTCTGGATTTTTGTTTTAGATTCCGTCTCTCACAGTTGAAGTGTGCCTATGATACAAATTACAGACCTCTACATGCTTTGTAAGTAGGAAAAGCTGCAAAATCAGCAGTGTATCAAATACTTGTTCTCCCCACTGTATATATTTGCGAGAAAAAAAAAACATATGGGCGATGGAAGTGATGCAGACAATTACATTGATGGAAGTTACAATCTATCTCTACCCCCCCAAAAAAATAAATATTCTGAAGGACGCACACTGACCTTGGCTAAAACAAAGAATGCTAACTAAAGGTAATCGCAGAAGATGGCTGGAACTTATCACGGCTTGTGTACATTCTCTAGTTACTTCCTTCTCCTCAGTTAGAGATCGCCCAGCATGCTGTGCTCCACATCACCGGTGGGCGGAGCTACAGCTCTCCTATGATGAACTGATATTTACTCTCAATAGTCTTTCGTACATCCAATCTCCTAAAGGCTTCTAATTTCCATCACACCGAAACTGCAAACCAGCATAACAACCTGTAAACATTGTATAATATTAGCTCTTGATAGCAAGATCAATCCACTTCGATTGAAATAACACGTCTAAAATGGCACTCTCAATAATAAATATAACATTCACAAAACAACCAGAAACGCACAAGTCAATATACAGTAGATACAACTATACGTATAATCTTTACAAAAACCCAGAAGAAATCAGGAAAATGCTCTCCTTTATACGGTGCACCAAACATCACACATGTTGAAATGTGTAATATATTCAATATGTGCATTACATTAGAATGACTGTGTACAGTGGGTATAGAAAGTCTCCACCCCCTTTCAAAATGTTCAATGAAAACACATTAAATCAGACTTTTTACGGCTTTATTTACACACAGTAACCCACAATATCCAAGTGAAAAACAATATCTAAAAATCTCTGAAAATGTATTACAATTAAAACAGTAAAATACCCTATTTGGATAAGTGAACACCCTCCCTTAGAATTGCAATAGCAAACTTGCTGAGGGATAACCAACCACCTTCCAGATAAAAAATCTAGCTAATTGGCTTCCATCTGTGATCAATTGTAGTGACTTTGATTAGTTCAGAATAAAAGCAGTTGTTCATAGAGGACTCCACTGCTTAGCAGTGCAATTCAAAGCAAAGAATCCACTATGGGCTGAAAGGTACTTTCAAAAGATCTACGAGATAAAGTTGTGCAAAGGCACAAGTCAGGGGATGGATATAAAAAGATTTTAAAGGCTTTGTTTATCCCTCGGAGCACAGTTAAGACCATTATTAAGAAGTGGAAGGCGTATGGCACCACCCAGACCCTGCATAGATCAGGCCGTCCCTCCAAACTGGATGACCGGGCAAGGAGGAGACCGATCAGAGAGGCTACCAAGAAGCCAATGGCTACTTTGAAGGCGCTTCAGGCCTTTATGGCAAAGACTGGTCAGTGTATGCATGTGACCACAATATCACAAGGGCTCCACAAATCTGGTCTCTATGGGAGGGTGGCAAGAAAATAAACACTCCTCAAAAAAGTCTACATCAAGTCTCGTTTGAGCTCTGCCAAAAAGCACATTGTAGATTCCGAGGCCAAGTGGCAAAAGGTGCTGTGGTCAGATGACACCAACAGTGAACTTTTTGGCCTGAACGCAAAACGATATGTCTGGCAAAAACCCAATACATCTTTCCACCCAAAGAACACCATGCCTACAGTAAAGGATGGCGGTGGCAGCATCCTGTTGTGGGGGTGTTTCTCTTCAGCAGGGACTGGAGCACTTGTCAGGATAGAAGGGAAAATGGACAGTGCAAAATACCGACAGATTCTTGAGGAGAACCTGCAGCCCTCTGACAGGAAGTTGAAAAAGGGAAGATGGTTCACGTTTCAACATGACAATGACCCAAAGCACACCGCCAAAGCAACCGTACAGTGGCTGAAGGACAAGAAGGTGAATGTCCTTGAGTGACCTAGTCAGAGCCCCAACCCTAAATCCCATCGAGAATCTGTGGAATGACTTGAAGAGTGCAGTCCATGAGCGGTCACCAAGCAATTTGACTGAGCTTGAACAATTCTGCAAGGAAGAATGGGAAAATATTGCAGTCTAGGTGTGCAAAGTTAGTAGAGACGTATTCAAAGAGACTCATGGCCGTAATTCAAGCAAAAGGTGGTTCCACCAAGTATTAACTCAGGGGTGTTCAGTTATCCAAATAGGGTATTTTACTCTTTACATTTGTATTAATTTTCAGAGTTTATGAGATTATTATTTTTCTCACTTTGATATTGTGGGTTACTGTGTATAAATAAAGCCGGAAAAAGTCTGATTTAATGTGTTTTCATTTCAGGCTGTCAGGCAACAAAAGGTGAACATTTTTGAAAGGGGACTTTCTATACCAACTCTACATCAGGGTTTCCCGAACTCGGTTCTGGGGCCCCCACTGGGTGCACATTTAGTTTTTAATACCATATGGGCCACATTTGCTAAACATATCTGCTGTACAAAAAGTCATTTTGGATAAAAGGGTCTGCTGCTGAATGCCCAAATATGCATATTCTATATTCCACACCACATCATGTCATCTTGCTGTTGATGGCCGGGTTCTGTCCGCACCAGTACAGCTTATCCTCCCCTCTCTTCTTCCTCCACTGACACATCAACAGCATCTTAAAGGTCTTCTGAAATGTCTTATTACACAATGCATAACACATGGGGTTGATGGTGCTGTTGACATAACAGAGCCAGTAGCCCAGGTGCCAGAGGGACACAGGGATACAGTCAGAACAGAAGGTGGAGATGAGCACCATGATGTTGTACGGCGTCCATGTTAGGATGAAGGCCAGGAGGATGGCACTGAGGGTCTGGGCAGCCTTCTTCTCCTTGATGAGGACCATCCTCTTCCTCTTGGTGATCTGGCTCTTCAGGGAGGGGTCCATGGGCTTGGGGGTGGGGGTGGTGGTGGTGGTGGAGGAGGATGGAGAGGAGTTCTGGTGGTGGTTCTGACCTATAAGGTCAGACTCAGAGGGACATGGAGGAGCTGTTTTGGGGTCTGTGTTGTTGGTAGTTTTGTCATTCTGAGGAGGGCTGCTGGTATCCTTCGAGATCAATTTGAACTTGTAGGAGATTCCCTTCTTGCTGGGTTTTTTCGGCGGTGGGGTGGCGGTCGGGAAATACTTGCCTTCTTCGTTATCACCGTAATCGGCGGCCGTCTGTCCGTTCTCTGTCTGACTTTGAACTTTACCTTTGGATGACCCCTGAGAGGTTGCCGCGGAAACGGAATGGTGAGTCTCCTCGGACGAGGTGTAGCTGTTGAAGGAGGTGATCTGGTCGGCTCGGGCCCAGGCCAGCTCATCCGACCGAGTTGTGGTCTTGGTGACGTTGCTCTGGTTGGACGACGACCACGAGGCCTGGTTCCTCCTGTCCCTCCTGTCGTTGCTTGAGCCGAAACAGGACTGTAACAGAACCGTTTTCTGGGGTTTATTAGCAGTCTCTGGGTGATCAGATGTGGTGAGGCCCTGCAGCTCAGCCAGGTCCTTGGTGCGTTTCTCTGTCTCCTTGTAGATCCTACTGTAGAGGAGGGTCATGATGGAGACGGGGATGTAGAACGCAGCGATGGCCGTGCCGAACGTGATCACCGGCTCAGAGAAGAACTGGATCTGGCACTGGTCCGCCGGAACTGTCCTCTCGCCCGCAAAGTACTGCCAGCACAGGATCGGCGGCACCCAGAGGACAAATGAGACCAACCACGCTAAGCCAATCATAATAGCTGCTCTCTTTGGTGTCCTCTTGGCCCTATAGGTCAGCGGCCTTGTGATGGAGAAATATCTGTCGAAACTGATGACTAACAAGTTCATAACGGAGGCATTGCTGGCCACGTAATCCAGGGCTAACCAGAGGTCACAGGCTAGGTTCCCTAAGGACCAATAGCCCATTAGGATGTATGAGGTGTATAAGTTCATGGACACGGCTCCTATTATGAGGTCAGCGAAGGCTAAGCTGAGAAGGTAGTAGTTGTTGACTGTCTTTAGTTGACTGTTGACCTTGAACGACAGCATCACCAGAACATTGCCTACGACTGTTATCAGGCTGACGATGGCCGATACGGTCGCTATGGTGATGACCTCCCATAGGTTGTGTGGGACAGGCTGAATGTCTGATGTGTTGCCATCAAATGTTGAGTTTTGGATCTGGAGGTCCTCGACGTCCATTTTGTTGGTTCAGTGGCTGTCTAGCTATGTTACAGTGAGGAGATAGATAGGGAATTGTCTCTCTGTGGCTCCCCTGAAAGAAAAGAAAATACAAGGATAAGACACAATCTACTGTACATGTCGGTGGATCTTTCCAAATCAGTTTTGTAATTTGTCATATGATAAATGTTGATGACTGAAGTTTTCTGTTTGGTTTTAAGTATTTAAACATTCATTTGTCATTCATATTTTTCATATCTTGGAGTCATTACATTTTGTGGTCATTCAATTATTAATATGGGTTCGATCCCCGGGACCACCCATACACAAAAATGTATGCACGCATGACTGTAAGTCGCTTTGGATAAAAGCGTCTGCTAAATGGCATATTATTATTTATTGTCAGGCGGAACCAATGACGCAGCCTGTTGAACGTTGCCTTTTCTCGGAGGACGATATTACATGTAACACCTATAGCTTTGTATTGGTGTTACACTCTAAACAGTACAATGCTCATTAGATAGCGATGGAGGGAAAACCGAACAGGGGTCGTCAAACAAGCTGGAAGAGAGGTGGAGGTGGAGGTGGAAGTGGAGGTGTAGGTGGCGGGGGAAGTGGCGGGGGAAGTGACAGCGGGAACTCGGGTGGTGAGCACAGGGTCCGGGGAAGAGGACGATATGGAACTGGAAGGGGAAAAAGGGATCATTATCGAGGCCGTGGCCGTGGCTGTCAACCTACCCCATCATTTGGAAGGGTGAGGAGCTGGTTAAAGTTCGGTCTAGCACACTCAAATAGCTGTTTATTAGCATCAGTTTATTAGCTATCTTAGTTAGCTGATATGTTGAACATCTCCGAAAAGTCTTTGAACAAAAATTGTATAGCTATCGATCCAAGTGAAAGACGCATCATTGGAAGTAGTGGTGGGGAGTCTACTCCAACATAATCGATTCCTCAACTCCCATTTCTGGGTGTCTGGACCCCTAAGATTCTGTATTTTAGCACCATGGAAACTATACTGAACAGAAATATAAACGCAACAATTTCAAAGATTTTACTGAGTTACAGGTCATATGAGGGAATCAGTCAATTGAAATACATTTAATTAGGCCCTAATCTATTGATTTCACATAAATGGGAATACAGATATGCATCTGTTGGTCACAGATACCTTAAAATAAATTGGCCTCTGGATCTCGTCACGGTATTTCTGTGCATTTAAATTGCCATCGATAAAATGCAATTGTGTTCATTGTCCGTAGCTTATGCCTGCCCATACCATAACACCAATGCCACCATGGGGCACTCTGTTCAGAATGTTGTTATCAGCAAATTGGTTGCCCACACAACGCCATACACGGGTCTGTGGTTGTGAGACCGGTTGGACGTTCTGCCAAATTCTCAAACGGCTTATGGTAGAGAAATTAACATTAAATTATCTGGCAACAGCTCTGGTGGACATTCCTGCAGTCAACATACCAATTGCACGCTCCCTCAAAACCTGAGACATCTGTGGCATTGTGTTGTGACAAAACTGCACATTTTAGTGGCCTTTTATTGTCCCCAGCACAAGGTGCACCTGTGTAATGCTCATGCTGTTTATATATACAGTGGGGAGAACAAGTATTTGATACACTGCCGATTTTGCAGGTTTTCCTACTTACAAAGCATGTAGAGGTCTGTAATTTTTATCATAGCTACACTTCAACTGTGAGAGATGGAATCTAAAACAAAAATCCAGAAAATCACATTGTATGATTTTTAAGTAAAACATTTGCTTTTAATACATTTACATTTTACATTTTAGTCATTTAGCAGACACTCTTATCCAGAGCGACTTACATTATCTTTTTAAATTTTATTTTTAAATTTTATTTTATTTTTATACTGTCCCCCCGTGGGAATTGAACCCACAACCCTGGCGTTGCAAACGCCATGCTCTACATACCTGCCGGCCATTCCCTCCCCTACCCTGGACGACGCTGGGCCAATTGTGCGCCGCCCCATGGGTCTCCCGGTCGTGGCCGGCTACGACAGAGCCTGGATGACATAAGTATTTGATACATCAGAAAAGCAGAACTTAATATTTGGTACAGAAACCTTTGTTTGCAATTACAGAGATCATACGTTTCCTGTAGGTCTTGACCAGGTTTGCACACACTGCAGCAGGGATTTTGGCCCACTCCACCACCTACAGACCTTCTCCAGATCCTTCAGGTTTCGAGGCTGTCGCTGGGCAATACGGACTTTCAGTTCCCTCCAAAGATTTTCTATTGGGTTCAGGTCTGGAGACTGGCTAGGCCACTCCAGGACCTTGAGATTCTTCTTACGGAGCCACTCCTTAGTTGCCCTGGCTGTGTGTTTTGGGTCGTTGTCATGCTGGAAGACCCAGTCACGACCCATCTTCAATGCTCTTACTGAGGGAAGGAGGTTGTTGTGATACATGGCCCCATCCATCCTCCACTCAATACGGTGCAGTCGTCATGTCCCCTTTGCAGAAAAGCATCCCCAAAGAATGATGTTTCCACCTCCATGCTTCACGGTTGGGATGGTGTTCTTGGGGTTGTACTCATCCTTCTTCTTCCTCCAAACACGGCGAGTGGAGTTTAGACCAAAAAGCTCTATTTTTGTCTAATCAGACCATATGACCTTCTCCCATTCCTCCTCTGGATCATCCAGATGGTCATTGGCAAACTTCAGATGGGCCTGGACATGCGCTGGCTTGAGCAGGGGGACCTTGCGTGTATTGCAGGAATTTAATCCATGACGGCGTAGTGTGTTACTAATGGTTTTCTTTGAGACTGTGGTCCCAGCTCTCTTCAGGTCATTGACCAGGTCCTGCCGTGTAGTTCTGGGCTGATCCCTCACCTTCCTCATGATCATTGATGCCCCACGAGGTGAGATCTTGCATGGACCCCCAGACCGAGGGTGATTGACCGTCATATTGAACTTCTTCCATTTTCTAATAATTGCGCCAACAGTTGTTGCCTTCTCACCAAGCTGCTTGCCTATTGTCCTGTAGCCCATCCCAGCCTTGTGCAGGTCTACAATTTTATCCCTGATGTCCTTACACAGCTCTCTGGTCTTGGCCATTGTGGAGAGGTTGGAGTCTGTTTGATTGAGTGTGTGGACAGGTGTCTTTTATACAGGTAACGAGTTCAAACAGGTGCAGTTAATACAGGTAATGAGTGGAGAACAGGAGGGCTTCTTAAAGTAAAACTAACAGGTCTGTGAGAGCCGGAATTCTTACTTGCAATAAAATGCAAATTAATTACTTAAAAATCATACAATGTGATTTTCTGGATTTTTGTTTTAGATTCCGTCTCTCACAGTTGAAGTGTACCTATGATAAAAATTACAGACCTCTACATGCTTTGTAAGTAGGAAAACCTGCAAAATCGGCAGTGTATCAAATACTTGTTCTCCCCACTGTATGTATGTATGTATGTATGTATGTATGTGTGTGTATGTATGTATATATATATATATATATAAATAATGGTGTGTTTTGTATGTAAATATTATTAAAATGACCAGTGCTCAATGACCTAGAATAAAGTATATACATATGAAGTGGGTAAAACAGTATGTAAACATTATTTACATACTGACCAGTGGGCACCAGTCTCTAAGATGCAGGGTAGAGTACCGGGTGGTTGCCGGCTAGAAAAGTAACTAAGGCTAGTGATGGCTATTTAACAGTCTGATGTCCTGGAGATACAAGCTGTTTGTCAGTCTCTCGGTCCCAGCTTTGATGCACCTGTACTGTCTCCGCCTTCTAGATGGTAGCGGGCTGAACAGGCAGTGGCTCGGGTGGCTGAGGTCCTTGATGATCTTGGCCTTCCTGTGACACCGGGTGCTGTAGATGTCCTGGAAGGCAGGCAGTGTGCCTGGTGTTGTGTGCAATGTTGTTGGTGTTGCTATGCACAGTGCCTGCCAAATGGCCAGTGATTGAGTGACACTACTCACCTCGGCTGGGATGTAAATATGTTGATTTTTTATTTTGGATCAACACATTTAATCCATTTAATTCAACATCATTTTCACACATGGAAAAAGTTGGAGACGGCCTTCAACTGTAAACTTTAGAGAACTCAACAAAAATACTATAGTTGTGCACCTGTGTCAATGTCTTTTGTCATTCCATTGACAAATGTTGTGATCCCTTGATTTGTTTGAGATCGATGTCTCTATCCTACTGACTCTTCTGTTGATACTGCAGGACCAGGATGAAGGGAACAGGATGGATGTGGAGGAGGATGAGGGGATGGAGGTTTTCACCAAGAGGAAGTTGAAGTCTAACTGGGATCGTTACAAGGAGTCAGAGAAGGAGGAGTCTAGTGATGACACGCCCACTCAGAGAGGGACGGACTACCACGTCCTCCTCCAATCAGCAGGTAAGGAATGCATTACAGTTTCCTTTGAAATGGCCTTGGCCAGTGTGGTTCTGACAACATACTCAGCTCTGTCCTGACTGACAGTCATTCAGAATATTCTTGCTCGTCTTTGATGAACAGCGCTGTCAGTCAGGCTAGTCTTACAACTTGTGACAGTTTCAGAAGACGTGTGTCTGTCTGTCTGTATGTGGCCCATGCAGAGCAGAATAAATGTGGCAGACATTTGCTTGTGTTGGGAAGGCAGACAGGGGCATATCGTATTCCTTAGTGACAGCACTAGATTGGCTCATGCTTGGCGAATGAGAGGTAGTCCTTCTACTTAAGATGGGCATTAGTCATTGGCTCTCCAATTCTAAATGATTGAGAAGCACTGTTTCACTGACACAGCATAGCCTCCATATTATAGCCTCCATATTCTAGCCTCCATATTCTAGCCTCCATATTCTAGCCTCCATATTCTAGCCTCCATATTCTAGCCTCCATATTCTAGCCTCCATATTCTAGCCTCCATATTCTAGCCTCCATATTCTAGCCTCCATATTCTAGCCTCCATATTCTAGTCTCCATATTCTAGCCTCCATATTCTAGTCTCCATATTCTAGCCTCCATATTCTAGTCTCCATATTCTAGCCTCCAATATTCTAGCCTCCATATTCTAGTCTCCATATTCTAGCCTCCATATTCTAGTCTCCATATTCTAGCCTCCATATTCTAGTCTCCATATTCTAGCCTCCATATTCTAGTCTCCATATTCTAGTCTCCATATTCTAGCCTCCATATTCTAGTCTCCATATTCTAGCCTCCATATTCTAGCCTCCATATTCTAGCCTCCATATTCTAGTCTCCATATTCTAGTCTCCATATTCTAGTCTCCATATTCTAGCCTCCATATTTAGCTCCATATTCTAGCCTCCATATTCTAGCCTCCATATTCTAGCCTCCATATTCTAGCTCCATATTCTAGCCTCCATATTCTAGCTCCATATTCTAGCTCCATATTCTAGCCTCCATATTCTAGCCTCCATATTCTAGCTCCATATCTAGTCATTTAGTCTCATATCTAGCCTCCATATTCTAGTCCTCCATATTCTAGCCTCCATATTCTAGCCTCCATATTCTAGCCTCCATATTCTAGCCTCCATATTCTAGCCTCCATATTCTAGCCTCCATATTCTAGCCTAATTCAACTCCCTAAAATAACAAGTAGCACAAAGCAGGTGCATAACATGAATTATGTATCCTTTTATTTTGGGGTGAAAGAGTAGGTATATAATCTGTTGACATATTCATAGAAGGGCTGATGAAAAGAACGTAGTGCCTCTTTAAAAACGACATCATTTTCACTTTCCACCCAGACCAAACCCCAATACACCCTGTCTCACTTTTCAATGACCCTCTAATCTGTGTCTCCTCTCTGAATAGTGAGTTTTGTGGTGGCACCATTTTCCTCAGCTCTCCCCTGTTGTTTATCTGTGTTTTCTTCTCATTTTTATGAAGGTCCTGTCCTCAGAGTCCGCAGGGTGATTGATATTCATGAGGTTTATTTGTGTCATCTATTTCTGAGTAGAGGAGTAACCATGTGTAGAGTTGCAGGAAACTAGCTTTAAAACAGAAAAAAAGGACAGCGGACCAAGAGGACAGCCTTTAACATTTCCGGTCAAAGATTTTAGACTCTTTCTCTCGTTCTCTCTGCCTCTCTCCCCCCCCCCCCCTCTCCTTCTCTCCGTCCCTCCGCCCTCTCTCTCCCCCTCCCTGCTCCCCCCCCCCCCTCTTTCCTTTCCTCCCCTCTCAGTCAGTGGGTTACTTTGGTGATGTGTTGGCCTGGTGGCTTCTCTCACCTCTCAGAGGGTTACTGTAGTGATGTGTTGACCTGGTGGCCCCTCAGCAGCCGCTCTCCAGAGGACTCTTAATTGAACGTGGGCGGAAATGTGTTTACGAGGTGTTTTTCTGGGCACAGAACGAGCCACCCCCCTTCTTTTCCTCTCGCCTCTCCCTCTCGTTGGCTGAGAAGGATCTTCTCTTTTATATTCTCTTCTTCTCTATCTCTATCTCTCTTTCCCCATCTTCTCTCTCTTCTCCCCCTCTCTCTCTTCTCTCTCTCTCTCTTCCCCTCTCTCTCTCTCTCTCTCTTCTTCTCCCCCTCCCTGACTGGTGCCTGCTCTGTAACAGCTCTAGCTGTGTGGTCGTGCTGTAGCATGACCTAACTGTTGTACATCATAGGCGTTGGGTTGGAGTGAGTGTTGAAGTATCCTCTTGTGTTTATGTCGGGAGAACAGGACACACTGTGTCGGTACAGAGCAGATAACACTCCTTCAACTCTCATTCCCTATGCTTACACCCAACTTTTTACTATGTTCAATAAGTAGATTATACACTGAGTGAACAAAACATTAGGAACACCTTCCTAATATTGAGTTGCACCCCCTTTTGCCCTCAGAACAGCCTCAATTCATCGGGGCATGGACTCCACAAGGTGCGAAAGCGTTCCACAGGGATGCTGGCCCATGTTAATTCCAATGCTTCCAACAGTTGTGTCAAGTTGGCTGGATGTCCTTTGGGTGGTGGACCATTCTTGATACACACGGGAAACTGTTGAGCATGAAAAACCCAACAGCGTTGCACTTAAATATTTTGTCTTGCCCATTCACCTTCTGAATGGCACACATGCACAATCCATGTCTCAATTGTCTCAAGGCTTAAAAATCCTTCTTTAACCTGTCTCCTCCCCAATCTACACTGATTGAAGTGGATTTAACAAGTGACATCATAAGTAACATAGTAACTAATGTCAACACTTATATTTATACTGAACAAAAATATAAACTTAACATGTAAAGTGTTGGTCCCATGTTTCATGAGCTGAAATAAAAGATCCCAGACATTTTCCATATGCACAAAAAGCTTATTTCTCGCAAATGTTGTGCACAAATTAGTTTACATCACTGTTAGTGAGCATTTCTCATTTACCAAGATATTCCATCCACCTGACAGGTGTGGCATATCAAGAACCTGATAAAACAGCATGATCATTACACAGGTGCACCCTGTGCTGGGGACAATAAAAGGCCACTCTAAAATGTGCGGTTTTGTCACACAACACAATGCCACAGATGTCTCAAGTTTTGAGGGAGTGTGCAATTGGCGTGCTGACTGCAGGAATGTCCACCAGAGCTGTTGCCAGAGAATTGAATGTTCATTTGTCTACCATAAGCTGCCTTCAACGTCATTTTAGAGAATTTGGCAGTATGTCCAACCGGCCTCACAACCGCAGACCACGTGTAACGACGCCAGCCCTGGACCTCCAAATCCGGCTTCTTCACCTGCGGGATCGTCTGAGACCAGCCACCCGGACAACTGATGAAACTGTGGGGTTGCACAAGCGAAGAATTTCTGCACAAACTGTCAGAAACCGTCTCAGGGAAGCTCATCTGCGTGCTCGTCGTCCTCAGCAGGGTCTTGACCTTACTGCAGTTCGGCATCGTAACCAGCTTCAATGGGCAAATGCTCACCTTCGATGGCCACTGGCACACTGGTGAAGTGTGCTCTTCACAGATGAATTCCGGTTTCAACTGTACCGGGCAAATGGCAGACTGCGTACCCCATGGTGGCGGTGGTGTTATGGCATGGGTAGGCATAAGCAACGGACAACGACCACAATTGCATTTTATCGATAGCAATTTGAATGAACAGAGATACCATGACCAGATCCTGAGGCCCATTGTTGTGCCATTCATCCGCCGCCATCACGTCATGTTTCAGCATGATAATGCACGGCCCCATGTCATGAAGCTGAAAATGTCCCAGTTCTTTCATGGCCCTGCATACTCACCAGACAATGTCACCCATTTAGCATGTTTGGGATGCTCTGGATCGATGTGTACGTCAGCGTGTTCCAGTTCCCGTCAATATCCAGCAACTTCACACAGCCATTGAAGGAGTGGGACAACATTCCACAGGCCACAATCAACAGCCTGATCAACTTCATGCGAAGGAGATGTGTCGCTCTGCATGAGGCAAAAGGTGGTCACACCAGACACTGACTGGTTTTCTGATCTACACGCCTACTTTTTTAAAAGGTATCTGTGACCAACAGATGCATATCTGTATTCCCAGTCATGTGAAATCCATAGATTAGGTCCTAATGAATTTATTTCAATTGAATGATTTCCTGATAAGAACTGTAACTCAGTAAAATCTTTGAAATTGTTGCATGTTGCGTTTATATTTTTGTTCTGTGTAGTTTTGGATACATATTTCTGCCAAAAATACACATATCTTTAAAATGTATATTTATACTTGAATGAGAAGGGAGGATAAGGAAAGTTCACGGAAGTAACAAGTTAAAGGTAGACCTATCAATTAGTGTTTTTACTGATATCAAATCGGTAACGGAATTTCAGAAAAATTGGTAACGGAATTTCTGCAAATGAATTGGCCACAATGGGGAAATCATTGTAGCCACAAACGACAGTTGGGTTCAGAAATTTGGACAGCATAGCATAGCATAGCATAGCACAGTACAGTACAGTACACCACAGTACACCACAGTAAAGAAAAGTATAATACAGTACTGTAGAGTACAGTTCAATACAGTACACAGTAGAGCACACTAAAGTGGAGTACACTACTGTACTGAACTCTACTCTACTAAACTCTACTGTGCTGTACTTTGATGTCCAAACTTGTGAATCATAGACATCTATGATTGGTTCAGATTTGGTCCCGGACCAACCAAATTTGGTATTGTCTGGGGGCAGAGCTCATTAAAATAATAGCCACTGTGTAGAACGATACCCAAATATGCTAAGGAGGATATTGCATATTTATACCTTTTTGTGTACCTATTCAGGATACTTCACCATGAAGAGAATGACGTTCATATCCATAATTGTGCATTTCTGTGTAGTACAGATCAGGGACCCATGATGAAATTCCGTTACCACAATTCCGTTACCGGGTGTAAAGCCACTTCACTTACTTTAGTTCAATAACCAAAACAGACTTTTTCAAGTCAATGTGTCATGTCATAGCTGACATTCCATTCTTTCTGCATACATCGTTGAATGTTAATTCCGAG